CATCATAAACGAGAGATTCAGCTGGGTTCCAGGGCGAGTCTCTGAAAAACCGAATTAGCTTGCAAATGAGTGTATTTGGCTAACTTTATTACTTGTTCTAAACGCCCGTCTCTCATGGTTGCAAAATAAAAACCAAACACCTAAGCAGACCTCAATTGTAGTGTGCATTCGCATAGGTCTGTGGTTCGGTATACATCTAAACGAACTAGAAGATACTGCTCCAAAGGACTCATCCCAAGGGTAACGGTTGCATCCAGAACTGTGTTCTGGCGCACCAAGTTGAATTAAGTGACACAACATTCCGCACTATTTACCAGGAACTGTGAAGCTGATCCAGAGCAGCTGGCCTATGGACCCTAACCTTCTTGTTCCGGAACACTGCAGTCGAAAAACATAGAACCGATCTCTAGCGAGGTTGTGGGTCTCCCATCCAGAACACAGTAATGGTCGTTCATCTGCAGCACGCTTTCGGCGCCTAGTTGCCATGCGATCCGAACGAGGGCTGAGATGCTGTCAGACTGCCCGAGCCTAGAGAGCAGCAGTCGAGATTGGGTTCCCGCCCTAGCCAGTGAGCCATTTCGAGTTCAACAACCCCCAGATAACTCACAATACATTGTAAAAGATAAGAAGGGATGATAAAATCAAGACAAACAGTTCCATGTACGTGGAATGCGTCGTACAACTGACAGAAAGCACGAATAAGAACCAACCGCACTCATGAATGAATCTATTTGACCAATAATTAAAAAGCTGTACAAATGAAGGCTGTGTACATTGTGAACTGAAACGCATCTACTCGGAATCGGTGCTGTTCACTGGGATCATCGTAGCTCGAAGCCTACTCCGACAGATAACGCTGATTCGACGGGGACGCTGGATATCATACAAATGGGAACCATGTTCCGCAAACAATCGAGCCACGTCTGTATTGGACAAGATTGCATGTGTCAGTAGATACCGGGACGCGCCACGCATCACGTAAGCCGAACGCCGGGGGATTCGCAAATCGACACAGCTCCCGGGCTTTGGAAGACTGAGCTCTGCCAAATCGGGTTGATCGGCTGGCAAGGCTACAACTTCTTTTGAGGGTGCAACAGCCAAACGGAGGACAGAATCTGAAAGTAGGCTCAGCACAACAACAGAGCCGCCACAAAACTAGAACGGACGGAGAAGAGAAAAGAGAAAGCTGTTGTTTTTACGAGACTATTCAGTTTACTGGTTAAATCGAACCAGTGGGCGAGCATCAGAACAAGCGGTAAAAAGCAGGTGCCATGAGATATAGGCAAAGAGAAGTGTTGTAACGTGAGTTTGATTAACCTTAGTTGGAAGGTTAATAGTTCGAACCCGAGCCTGGTTGCTAGCTTGTTTCTCTCTCTGGACTTGGGAAGTGTCTCACTCCTCGTGATTATTCGGGCAGCATGGCAGCCAGGCACCGAAGAGGTGCCACAGCTGCAAGATTTATTCTTCAGTGAGTTTGTTAACTCACCACTCTACAAACAACAGCAGAAAACGAGCAGTTCGTCACAACTTGGTTCATTTTTCAGCTCAGATGCATGTTGAAATGAATTGAGGCGGAGACAAGACGGAGCTCCTCGTAGTCAACGGCATGCTGACCTTCCGAACAGCGCGCAGCCCACGGGCGACATCGAGATTTCATTAAGAATATATTCAATAAATGAAACAGTGCTTCTGGGCTTTTAAGCATGGTTCGTTAGTGGGCGCCACGTATCATACTGTTCAGTTACCTTAATCACTCGATCAGCATGGGGATTAATCCACAACCAGAGATGATATGGCACCGCTCACCTTTCATTCGTGGGAGCCATATCACGTGGTCATGTGAGATGATTTCTCAAACGGGAGTTTCATTCACTGTGAGATTTTCCTCCCCTGAGCTAGTTATAGATTGTCGGCAGTGTGAGGAGATTTTGGAATTTTTCAATGGAGATTTCGTTCTTTAAGTGAATTTTGGAGTTTTTCAATGGAGATTTCGTTCTTTAAGTGTCGTGAGGTGCACACACTACTGATGATGCTCAGTAGGGATGAAACAGCTATACAGTGATCTCGGCCAATCAGCATAGACTGGTTTCGCGGACAGGAAGAAATCTCCATTGAGAGTTTCTTTAGTTTGGGAGTGGACCGTCCACGGAGTTTGGGTAAGCGACCGGTACCACACACCAAAAAAGCTAAACCCTATGAAAAAAATCCAATAAAAGAATCGTTCGGTTGTAACGCTGCTGCGCCACCCAAAGGAAGCACGAGGGCTGGGATACCGTCAGGTTGCCCAAACCTAGACAGGGGAAGTCGAGAGGCAGAGGTCGAGTTCGAAATACGGACCTTCCGGCCAGCAAATTCGCGCTGTAAACACTGAGTCACCTCGCCCCCGTAAGTTAGACTGAACTAACCCCATGAATACTGCTTGAGCTAAGTCTATGGAACCGCACCATAGGTGAAACTGAATTATCAGCAACATAAACACGTTTGTGTTTATGTGCGCCGTTCGGTAGGTACCGTTCATACAGCAGCTCGGAACTGTAGGGCCAGTGCACTTCCTTCGGACAGCAGTTTCCTCCGTTCTAGCAGATCTCAATTGGGCTACACCGCCAAGTCTTCGAGCTTGCTTGTCTTAAAAAAAAGCAAATATTAAGTGGGCGGGGAGTATTTACAGTACTAAACAATGCATTACGAACCAAATTTACACCGCAAACGTGAAAAACAGGCCATACGAAGAACTCACCCTGACACTATCAATATGTGCCTTAATCTCGCCAGTCTCCGCCAGATCTAACACATGAATGTATGGGAGCACGATTTGATCAGTGGGCAGATCTGTTGCCGGTTCGGGGAATTCAGTGGTGGCCGTTAGATTTCGTAAGCGTTCTATGACTGGTCGGTTGATGGTCCGCCAGGTTTTCCGTTCCGTTTCACGAAAGTCTGTAATGGCCTGATCAATAGAAATCAGAGAGGCAAACAGTAAGGGATCCGTCCGAAAAGTGGTTGTAGTAAAGCGGATGGAATGAAGTATAACTAGGAACCCGAGAATTCTGGAACATAGTTAAATGTATGTCGATCTTCCGCAAAACCGCTATACAGATATGTACCTATGTCACCTGGTGTGATGACGAAACTTTCACAAACCGCTGAGCTATCTCGCCGCCAGTGCGCAAACCGATGCCTGTCTGAAAGTATAATCATTCGTATTTCGTTTCCATGTCAATGGTTGGCAGACAGTGTTAGGCGGAATTATGCACCGAAACCGATTTACTGCTCCCAGTTAGGCGCAGCTACGACACAGGCCTAACCCTCATACGACTGGCCAGAAGGTCGGGCCGTTTGCCGGTCCAGCATCAGGCCGAGCTCTGATTGGCCGAAAGTCTGGGCCCAATAACCAATCATGATCTAGTATCCGCCGAATGCCGGTTGCCAATGCCGTGTGCAGAAAGTGTCAGAATTTCAAAAATGTTGTCACTGAACGTAATTTTTGTTTTCGGCCTGGTTTTGGAATTTAATACAAGGTGTGCACCGCTGGTGGTTCTTTTGACGAGGATGCTAGCTTACAAGTTTCAGACCGAGAATTGGGCTGAGGAATTACCGTTAATACAGCACGATTAAGGCCCTAACCTTGATGTAGGTCAGTTATTTAATACAAGGTGTGAACCGCTGGTAGTTCGTTTGAGGAGGACGCTAGCTTACAAGTTTCAGACCGAGAATTAGGCTGAGGAATTACCGTCAATACAGCACAATTAAGGCCCTAACCTTGATGTAGGTCAGTGGTCAAGGTGCGAACTTACTGACCGGTTCGAACTCGATAACTACATCTCAAGTGCGCCCGTCTAGGTTTTGGCATTCTGGCAGTACCTCAGCCCTCGTACATCCTTTGGGTAGCATGGCAGTTTTGCACAAAAAGGGCGTTCATCACAAGCACAATGGATAGCATGACATCAGTGTTCAACACCGATGCTTCACTGCCGTACAATCACGATTTATTTGGAAGCCTTATTGTGAAGAAAAGAATTAGGGTGCTAGCTTACTGCAATCATTCCGAGGTGCTTACACCCCCATTCAGGCAAAGTGGATATAAACTGACAACAAGAACGCCACTGACAACCGTTGGTAGCCATTTCCTTCAGCGTCTTCAATGGAAGTACCCGTTACACAACCGAAAACACGCTTTCTAACTGCCTCGTTACGGATTCGCCGACACCAACCCACACGAGCTATGGTTCTGAGACAACGATTGTCGAACACCTGAAGACATCTCAGTTCCGCTGCTCTGACAGGTCAAGTCTCACAACCATACAACAAAACGGTCTCCACTTTAGCCTGATGCAGACGTCCCTTGAGATTTACGGACTCCATAGGTGTTTCAAATTAGCAAGTGCGGCCCGAGCATGTAGATTCGTGCATCGACCTCATTTGTCACACTACAATCAGAACTAATACAACTTCCAAGATATGTAAAACTCCCCGCAACATTCAGTGCCTCTCCCTGGGTTGTAAGTGACGTGCTCAGTGACTGCATGTCCACGAGCATGACATTACACTTTGTGCATACCAAAGGACAGGATGACTTTGGTCAGTTCATCCAAAACACCTGCGCCCTTTCCTCCTCTTCGAACATGAGAACGATGTCGTCTGAATATTCCAGATCAACAAGATTTTCGTCACAGGCTATTTGAACACCGGGGTTTCAGAAACCTTCCAGAGTTCGTGTCATCGATCACGAAGTTAAATAGGAATAGAGAGAGTGGGCATTCCTGACGGACACCGCTTTGTGTACGGAAGCTTTTGGGGAGTTCTCCGTATACTCTTACCCGCCCAGAAGTCGGAGAATATAAAGAACGTATTATGTTC